TTGTGTCATGTGGGATACAACCATTAGAAGTAGGACATTGACCTGTTTCGAGCACCATAGAAACTGGGACTTAACACGAAACTCAAACCTTCTCGCACCAAACACGCGAACAACAACAGCAAGACACAACGTCATTACAACGTCACAACTGTCTGGTTTCTTCCCTAACGCTAATGAGCAAGTGAGAGAGAGAGAGAGAGAGAGAGAGAGAGAGAGAGAAAGTACCCTGATTAGTCTGGCAGCATCAGTGTCAGACACTCAGCGGGGCGTCCGCAGCTCAGTGTGTGTCTGTGTGTGTGTTATGTGTATATTCAAGCATTTGTATGGTTGCCAGTTTTTGCTCTCTCCTTGTTTTTTTTCCTTGCCATTCCTTTCTCACTTTTCTTCATCTTTTCTCTCTCGTTCTCTAAGCTCCAAAAACTCTGATCCCTGCATTCGTTCAGTCTGGCAAATGACTGCAGGGGCTGACAATCCACTGTCAGCATGCGCCGCCACAGTCAATAACACTGTCCCATGTCACTGCACTACACTGGCTAAAGCTCACATTTCTTATCCCTCCCAAAAACTGCTGCTTAACAGCCCTTCTCTGCCTTTGCCAATCCTGCTAAACGCATTGCCATATCCCCCTCATAACCCCCACCCAAAACCCCACCCTGACACATTTTTGGTTCTCCAAATGACCAGAACATCCTTGGGTGAAGTGAATACTGCATATTTTAAGGTCAAGAGTAGCACCCAGTTAAATTTGGGACCAAATGTGATGTGCTTTTCACGATGCCCCTGAATTCTAAGCAAGTGATGGGTGACTGATCTAGCTGTCTTACAGTAACAAGACAGGGTCATGTAGGCTATACCCAAATACACACTTGAATTGCATGCGCGCATATACACCCATGCATGCATGGGGTGCAGAGGAGCTCAGACAAGTGTTACCAAGAAATTGTAGTCTCCACGATAATCCACTTCTCCTCTATCGTGTTCCATTAACCTCACAGTGTACACACACGCTCCCACACAGGCCCTCCACACTCACACATTCATACACGTCTGTCAGTGTCAGGGCCTGTGTCGTCCAGCTCCATTGTATCTGCATGAGGCTGAGATAATGGCATCTGTCGCTGCTCCTTTTGTCAGCGCTGTCCCTGGCCCCTGCTCACTGCTGGTCCCCATTAGCTGGCTGCTGGCCCGCTGGCCCCTCCGCTCCACGCTCTGCTGCCTGACCGAGAAAATACAGGAGACGCCTGTCCCTTCCTCTAACTCCCACTTTGGTTATCCCTCTCCTGTCCTTCTTCAGCTCCTCCCACTGTTACAGATTCGAGTAGTTTGGTGAGCTTAAAAGGTGTAACCTTAAATTTAAAAAAGAATATATCTAATGGCAGCTTTGTTTTGGTTTCATTATAGATTAGAATCGATTGCAACAGAAGACTCCTGCTAGGTTTTCTGTTCTGGTTTTCAAGGTTAAATCATATTAATTTCTGATACCTCAATATCCGTTTAAATGCATTTCTTTCTTTTTTCCCAGCGTTTTCTAACACAGGTATTTAAATGTTGTATAGCAGATAAATTAACCATATAGACTTTAGAGCTGGAACTAACAGTTATTTCAATTATTGATAAATTATTTTCTCAATGAACTGATTCATCATTTGGCCTATTCAATTTTACTAAATTGTGACAAGACCCCAACACAATTTCCAACAGCAGATAATATCTTGTTTTGTCCATCCAGCAGTCACAAATCCAAAGCTATTCAGTTTATTATCACATAAGACAAAGAAAGACAGATACATTTCTCCCCACTGAGAAGCTGGAACAAGGGAATGTTTGGTATTTACGCTCAAAATATGACTTAAATGATTAATTGATAGTTGCCAATTTCTTCTCTGTTAACCTACCAATCCCATCAGCTCTAACAGACTTCACTTAACCTGAAACGAAACATGTGTTCAGTCCAATTAAAAGCCATCTTTAACAGAAGGGTAGTAAAAAGAAATGTGTCACAGAAATTCTTCTCATTCCAGATGGAAATAGAAACACATCAGAAAGCATCAAAAACACCTCATTATCTAAGTTTCGACTTTGAAGACTGTCCAAGTGCCTACAAATCCAGCAGCTACATTTGAATGTCTGGATTGATTCTGTAAGCTCTGCCATTATGTAAGTTTACAAGCTACATCTTTACTCTTAGGCATATTTCCGGGTATTCTGGCAACAGGCTTATAATGTATGTTTTCATTGCATTATGTCCCTTTCATGAACAACTGTAAATTTCATCATCAGACAATCTCTAAACTGTCCATCTCAGCACCAACTTCCCCTGTCCGTGCTGCATAATTACACTCACTGGAGCTGCATTACCTTACAATTTAACAAATTAAGTCGGTATTACATCTGTCACCTATCTGAGACGTCTCACTTAGTCACATCATTTTCCCCTCGTCCCTCATAAGCATGGCTAATAAAATGTAAAGATGGGAGATAATAACGCCGCTGACTGAGTTTTATTAAGAAAGCAATGGCAATATCATTGTTGTAATGATACTAAGACATCTAAGATGAAGGGCGGTCCGGCGTGCGGAAGTGAGCATGACATCACAGGCAAAAGTATGTTCTGCTCGCTTTATTTCATTATTGGTTAAGCTTCCTTATTAGGGACAGGGGGTGAAGCAGCATTGCCTTTGATAAAGCAAGGCAATTTCAGCAGCTGCTACGGTGCCAAATTACAGTTGTACATCACGCAGCTCTCTCTCTGCTGCTTCTTCAACTTCTCTTCGGCCTCCCTTTTCTCCAGCTCTCTCTATCTGGGAGGACTCTGTATGTGATGTTGATCTCCATGTTGCCTGCACTGTGAAGCAGAAAGACTAAGAGAAAAGTGAGTGGCAACAGCTGAAACAGCAGACAACAGCCCCATCTAGAGATTGTTTTAAGTCACTGTATGACTGAGAGGATATTAGACGATCCAGGTGCACTAAAACTCAATATAGTTCATATTGAGTTGTGATTTTACCAGTTTCTTGACTAGAATTTTCACATAAATTTAGACTTGTCTAACAAGTTTGTTCTTTAAATCACTTTAAATTCAAAAAAGGTTGCTGATGTGATTTTATTATAGCTGAACTTACTCTCCAAAAGATGGCACATGCCATTAAGTAAACGCTCAACACACTTATGGGACAATGGTAAAAGATGCTCAGCATAGGGGCACCTGGATAGCTCACCTGGTAGAGCTGGTCGCCCATGTACCAAGGCTAAGTCTTACTGCAGCGACCGTGGGTTTGACTCTGACCGGTGCCCCTTTGCTGCGTGTTTTTTGTTTTGGTACACTGATATCTGCTGACATGAGAAATGTAACCATCACCCAGTTTCATTCCCTTAAGTGTTATTTCTGTATTTCTTCTATTTTTGTTTAACTTTTTATTGTTACTTCATTGGCCCCTCACTTCATCTGCAAGTTCTTTCTCTCCATACACCTAATAGTTACAGTTTATGGTGTATTTATTTGGTACCTTTTATTTTAGTTTTTAATGTTTCGCTTTTATAGTGGATGTTCATAACATCATATTCTATTTTTGGCTTTTTAAACATAATTATTTATGCATCTGTTCTTGTACTTGCTGTACTGCTGCTGTGACACTTGAATTTCCCTGTGTGGGATAAGTTGTCTTGTTTATCTCACTCTATCAACATTAAAAGGACAATAAACATTAAAGCAGAACAGTTGTGAGTAACCTCATTAAAGGTCCAGTGCATTATGGGCTCTATGTCCACCCTGAGGTCTGACAAAAACTCCAAATGACCTTCAAAACATCATAAACATGACCTCTTGCCTCCTCTGAATACGAAGTGACTTGCAGATCAACAAACCATCAGGCTGACAGGCCTAACCTATCTGCCATTAGGCCGTCGAGATATCACACTTTGCTTTAATTCACCATCTTTCAGAGTGTCACACTTTATATTCCTTGGCATGGGTAGGCTACATGCGGATGCATAATTTATCTCAAATTAGCGCCTATTTGAGTAAGCATCAAAGCAAGGCGGCTAAGGTTGGAGGAGAGCTTAAGGAACCGCAGGGAAACCATGGCCAGGATTAATGCGGGAGATTTTTATAAGAAATTACTGGCTTAATGAAGTGGATAAAAAAGCTGTCAGTGTTTTATTGCATCTAAATTGTGTGGAAGTGGTGTTTAGCTGTCTCGCCTACTCCCCACATAATGGGTCGTGACAGTAGCTGTGAGGCTTATTTAACTTAACTGGTGAATAACTTGCATGGCGAAGCTATTCAGTGAGTTGTTTTTATATGCACTAAACCAGTGAGGGGATTTTTATCCTCCCCCCTTCTCTCTCTCTCTCTCATTATAATGCCATATGAACAACAGCCAACTCAAGAAAACTGACAATTAACAGTGTATCTGGTTTCATATTAGAAAATCACTTAAAGTAGTATTTTGAGCATTTTAACGTTTTAAGGTTAAAAAGGTCTTTTAGTTTGTTAACACATAGGAAATATCCAGGAAACATGAACTTGAAAACCAATGTTACATCAGTACTGACTAATCCAATTGACTCTACTGCTGTGCTCATAGTCCAGGCCCAGTAAATAAAACGGGTCCTCACTGCTGTTCACTTTGGGTATAGAAGCTGCTGAAACTTAGTTGTATTTTAAACGGGCTGTATAACTCACCGTACAGGTAAAGCAAATTATGCATGCTTACTGTAAATTTAGCAATTATTTATTGGGCTTGCAGAAGGGGAAAAAAATAACAATACACTGCAGGAGAAAACACTGTCCTACAGCACCATCTTGTGTTTCCTTTCAGGCTTGCCTTAGATTAGACAGCCTGTTAAAGAGCACCAATTACGTTTGCCTCTTCACTTACAACAAGAGAGGTTTTCAAATTAAAAACCTCTCTAGTTGTTATAACTGTACAAATATATCCAGTGTTAAGAAAGTAGTTGTTGCTTTAATACGCTGCTGGGACAATTATTACAGACAAAAACAAAATGTAAATTTTTATTTATTTCACATAGTATAGCATCACAATACACCAAATCAATCATCCATCACAGTTCTGATGTGCAAGTGTTTGTTTTCCGGTGATAATGACTCGGTCAAGATCTTGGGCCTGTTTCAAGAAGCGATTTCATCAAACTACCTGACTAACTTCGAGTAAGACGCAAAACACCTTCAAACCTGGAACGCTGACGTTTCACTCAGCAAAGTTATCAAGGTAATGTGTTAATCCTGCTTCTTGAATCAGGTTCCTGGTCTTTAGCTCCCACACCTCACCCCTGATATAAACGAACAGAAAATGCAGACATGAACATCATATGTGTCATGTAATGGCATAAGTAATTCAATTTGGTCTTTTTCTCCTCCATTATCTGTTTAATTATCTTGGTTAGTTTCATGTTGACCTTCTCGCCTTTAAATACAATGAGCAGTGTTATAGTCGAGAACGATACAAGTTGATAACACACTGATGTATGCATGCTGGGAATGAGTCCATTTTTTTTTGTTTTTTGTGAATCCTGCTGAAAAGAGCCAAACTAAATACACAACATGGGTTAATAATTTTGGGCAGGGCTGAAACTGTAGGTGGAAAAACATGCAAGTTTCAACCAGTTCATATCATCATCCCAAAATGTCTTAGAGAGACAATCTGGAGTGTGAAGCCCTACATCAGTCCTGCACCTCAACCAGACTTAATACAGTTCTTTCTTAATATAAATAAGGTTTTAATCATGACATATTTTCATATTTTTTCTGAATCACTTAATTATTTCTGGCAGTGCTTTTGCAAAGACCATTTCCAAATTTCCAGCCAAACTTAATTTTCACAACCCATCATGAAGTCAATCAAAAAGTTTGATTTCCAGTGGAGCACACACAGAAAAGTTAATTTCTGATTGAAAAGAGTTTAATTCTGCTAAGCTGCTGTTATTGAGAAGGACATATACTCTTTCTGTAAAGATCCTTCACCAGTACAGACAAACAGCCCAGTCTGGGACCTAATCAAAACCTTTCATTGACACACACAAACACTCATTCACTCACTCATACATACAAATATACCTGCATACACACACACACACAAGACCAAGTTAGATGGACAGCACAGTCCCTTTTCAGTCTGCTAACAAAACCTTGTTTCCCTTCACAAGTGAAACCAAAAAGCGAGTTTTGAGCAGCATTCAGGTAGGGTGAGGTGAGTGGTGTTGAGAGAAAGCTTGCACTGCAGTCAAGCTTTATCTACATAAGGCCATCTCTGAACGTGTGTGGGTTAGGACTAGCAGTTCACATCCACCATCTTTTTTGTTTTGTTTTTTTTTTTGTTTTTTTAAATCAGCACAGAAGTGGTCGGGGTGGGTTCTTCACTAGACAGATTCCTGAAAACTGACATCACAGTTTGTCCATCGCAAGAGGTTACCACAATGGTTTGTTTTTCCCTCTCACATTGTTCATTTAGAGGGATCAGCAGCTAATTATCACAGCCTTTGACCGCTTTAGGAAATCCAAAGAAAGATCCTGAACCTTTTCCTGTCCAGGTGCAGTTTTACTCTCTTGACTTCCTCACAGTCAACACGGTGCCTTGCATCGACTGAACCAAATGCTTGAATTTCCCTTCTATCATAGCTTGAGAAGCCGGACCCCGCTGTGCTCCAGTGTTCACTGTCTCACACGCTTGTGGCTCAAGCCGTCTCTCTGTACTTTAGGTGCTGGGAGCAAGGGATTGTGATTTGCGCGCCGGTGAGCCCCAGTTTAGTAGTCTCTCCTCTACCGGCTCCCTGGCCCTTCTTCATCCTTCCTTTCCTCTACCCTCTTTTTGCTTCTTTTTATTTTTTATTTTGCATCAGTGTCTAGACAGTGCTGCGCGGCGTGCCGTTCAGTGCAACCACCTTGGTGCAGGGCGAGCCCACTGCCTGGGAGCCCGCTGGACGCTGGGTGGAAACACCCACCTCAAATACTTCATGGATGGCCTTCCGGAAACAGTGGAAGTTGTAGTCTATTAATCCTAAGGAGGCGAGAAAGGTACAACAAAAGATTAGATTTGTTATGTTATTTGGAAAAATGCACAGTCGATTTATTTGCTGTATTCATAGTTCTTAAGTCTGAGCAAAAGGTAGTGATAAAAGAATCTCAAGAACTAAGCTGTGTATTCATTTTCATGCAGCAAACATCCACAGATTCAGGGTCTGTGCTTTTTTGTCGCTCTGAGCAAGGTATTATGTTACATCCAAATATATGATACCCAAAAAGCAACTTCTACATCACAGAATAACATAATCTATGCAATACCCAAAAACACACAACATTTGTAAAGGTTATAATGTTTACTCCCTGTGGAGACTGTGTGGATTTAACTTGAACTGAAGTTGAAATGCTAGTTGTTGTCTTGTATTGTATTGCATTGTAACAGGAAGACTTTATAAAACTATTTGTAGATGTGTAATAATGTAATTAGAAAAAAAACACAGCAAATTACAACATTAAAAGCATTTCAAAGAAACAGTGTCAAACAAAAACTCAAACTTCAAAATGCAGCAATCACTGCAAGCTTAAAGACACACCTATTTAAAACACCAGTGTGTAGGATTTAGTGGCATCTAGTGGAGTAGTTGTACATTGCAAGGACGAGAAACTACGGTGGCTGCAAAATGCGAGATAAAGGCAAACAGCCCTATATAGAGCCAGTCATTGTTTTGTCCATTGTGGGCTACTGTAGAAACATGGCCGTTTAACACCATGGCTGTAGATATAAAAGGCTCTTCAACGATGATTACACACTAATGAAAATATATGTATGAATTGTATTCCATTTCTGCCAATAGATCCTCCTAAATGTTACACACTGGACCTAACAGATGAAGATCAGCATTTGTAACTAACCCGGGCGCATGGAGTCTGAAAGACTTTACCAGGCAAGGAGGGTCTAGCAAAATATGCTATATAGTACATGCACATTTGTGGAGCTTCATCCATAGTAGAGGCTAAAAGTCAGGATATCTCAGTTCTTTACAAAATTGGTCTCTTCTTGAAACTTCATGAAAAGTTCTGTTAAATTGTGGATCTGTGCCTTAAATGTTACTTAATTGCAAAACATTACATGTATAGGTGCCCTTGTTCTGACTTCATACACTTGTGAAAGAAAATACGAAAACATTTGACTCAAGGCCACATCACCATTAGCCAAATTAAGCCAAATGAGCTCCAGAGGATCACAGATTTCGCTGACAGTTTACCTTTGCGCTCGAAGCTTTCTTCTCGCAGGATGCAGACAAGGGCCAGGAACTTGGTGACCTCTTTCAGGTACAGCACAGTGGTGTTGTTGAGCTTGATGATGGCCATGGACTCCTTGTCGTAGGCACTGCCGCTGCCGTCCTCCCTCAGACTGTTGAGGCACAACAAAACACCATAATGTTCAGGGGGAAATGTGAAAAAAAAAAAAAAAAAAAAAATTGTAGCATGAGGATGTGGATTAATTAAGCAAATAAATGCATAATTAAGTTATGCTTCAATGAAAGCATCCTCAGACAACTCATGGGTGAACTCTAATCTTCTGTAATTTCTTAATGTTTTAAGATATGAAGTGAATATGTTTTTTGCTGTATTTAATATGTAAATTTATACAGAAAAGCAGTTCAAAATCTACTCTATAGATACACTTCCCTACGTTTCCATAAAGTTTTAAGGCAACAAATGCATGCCAGAGCTGGCAATAACCCAACTCTGAACTCTTACTTACTAATGTACTAATAGAACACACACTCACCCGTAGATACAGGAGACGTCAATGACCACATCGATCATGTCACAGCACAGTTCATAGGACTGCATGTCTACAGGAGAGCTGTCTGTGGCAATGTAGATCTTACTGACCACATCAAACAGAAAGGCTTTCTCTATCCCTGAATTCTGTCAGTGAAAAATGTTAGGATGACAGAGAGGAAGAGATAAAGAAAAGAAGGGAATGTTAGGAAATTATCCAATTTAATATGGTAAAGAAACATGGTACTACTACCTGATGAGATACATTGGACATTTAATATTAAGACAGTAAAGGTGGGCGATATGATGGCAAATGCTGTGAGATTATACTCATTTGTTTCTGATTGATTTTGTCTATAAAATGTCAGACAACCGTAAAATCAAAATTTCCTCACATAATGACAGCAGTCCAAAATTTCCAATCACAGAAGACTAAGATAAATACCAAATATTTACATTTGAGAATTTGGACCTGGTTAATTTTCTGTACTTAAAAAAAAAGCCTAATGATAAATCAAGTTATAAAAATAGTTGCTGGTTTAATAAACTCTTGGTGTACAGTATTTAAGCCAATGTCAGCTCATGTCGCAAATCAATGAGCAGGACTGCTTTATGGAAATATTGGATTTTTATATGATTCTGGGCTGTGATTTATCAGATATTTAACTTGCTCAAGTAGATTGAAAAAAAAAATAAAATTCTGCATATTTGATCCATTTACATTTTTTCAATTGATTGTCCAGAACGTATAAATCCACATATTGAAATACTCCACATAATTGCGTAAGCATATGGAAGGCCAGTGCTAAGTTAAAGGATGGTTTAACTCATCAATGATCATTATAGGGCTCCATACTAATGTTCGGACATTTCACCACATGTATTAATAAATGTACACAGCTGTAAGACAGCTACAAACAAAAAGAGGTACTAGGCTTTACTGTGGTTCATTTCACTTTCTAAAGCTTCAAAATACAGTGTTTTACTTGTTTAAATGAAATATTAATCATCCAGTCGTGACAGGGTGCGTGACGACAGATGACATATACACAAAGTCAAAAAATCTAACATCTGGAAACAGATACAGAGTCACACCATGATGTTAGCTGTATCTTGCAAGTCGGTCCTAAGCTGGGGTCTAATGGCACTGAGTTAAATCAAATGCTGTTTGAAGTATTTTTCATTATTTAATCATGAAATATAATGGATTCATGAAGAAGACTTCACAGCACCTGGGAAATGAAGAAAAGGTTCACCCTCATATCGTGTGAGGTAGTACTGCTTGTTACCTCTATGAGATAAATCTCTCCCTGTGGTCTTTTGGGTGTTCTCAACAGCAATATGATTCGATTTGGATCATTGCCAATGTGTGAGAGTTAGAAATCCTGTGCAACATCCACAATCCGGCAGTACAATCAAGGATTGTAAGGGCACTGGAGGAACTGCTAACTATACAGCGGCATGGGAGCTGGCAGTGACTCACATTGTGCATGCTGTCACACGTAAATCACGCTGGTCAGTGACAAACTTACGAAAAAAGGGTTCATACACAAAGTGTTGGCTGTTCTTTACTTACAGAAATGAAGATGTTTAGGAGGTTCTCCAGAGTGGGAAGCTGGGGAATGAGCTTCTGCACCACTTTGCTGAAGGCCTCGAAGATGGAGTGGTCGTAAATACTCGTCAAGTAAAAGCTGAATGAGATTTTTTTAAAAAAGGAAAAAAAAGGGGGAAGTGAATAAGCAGTTACTCGTAGCAAACACTTCTCACTTCCTCAAAACACACATGAAAGCAGGTAAAAAACCAAATAGTCACGAGATCACATGACAAACAGACACTGAATGACAGAAAAGAGCCGTTAGTCGACGCATTTAAGCCTGATTCAACAATAAAACACGGGAATGAAAAGAAAATGTTAGCAAAAAATGGCTTCACATGGCTGTGGCAAAACTGGACACACATGACTTATGGACTTTACTGTGATATATAAATAAAAGGTCAGCCCCTGAGGAAGCCTGTAGCTTGAGCCAAATGGAACTGTCTGCATACGCTTGGCAGGCGCTCAACTTTACAATGCATTACAGTGAAGAAAGCACCAGAGAGACACAAGGCAGAGCAAAAAAAAAAGCCTTCTCAGCGACAATATATATATCTGGCTGTCTAACTGGAATAAACAACAATCTCACCCCACATAAAACACAGTGCAGGGCGTGCCAACAGAGCCCAAACATCAACAGTAAAGCTGCTACAGAGCTGACCGGGATCAGCAAGAACAGCCTGCTTAGTGTTGTACGCAACACATTTAGAGTCACAGTGTGTCAGGGCAAAGGCTGCAGTTATTGATCATTTTTACTTTTTGATTGAGGCTGTACAATATTTTCATTATTGACTAATGTATTATTTCGATCAGTCGTGTAGTCTATAAAATGTCCTAACACCTTGTCTTGGTGGTTTTGTCTGATGAACAAGCTATATTATGGATTCATTTATCGATGACTTGTTTAGTCATGTGATAAAATGAATGTAATGTAAATGGTGAAAAGCACAGAAATTTTCACATTTAACAAGCAAACAGTTACCACATACTTGACAAATGATTTAAAGGACCAGTGTGGAGGATTTAGTGGCATCTAGCGGTGAAGTTGCAGATTGCAATCAACTGTAACAGCTGGACTCAACCAAGTGTAAACTACTGTGGCCACAAAACTCGAAAAAAACATGAGAGGCCCTATCTACAGT